TTGCAGAACCATTGAATAAATGATAAAAAGCATCTTTAAAATCGTATAGTCATTTCTGTTAATTGGGGATTTTAGATAGATGAATAAATTCCACAGATAAGCTTGAAGTGAGTAGTTTTTGGCACAGTTTCTATCAGAGGCCTGTTTTTTTTTTCCTTTAATTTACTCTGTTCGTTTGCTGAAGAAATTGCTAAATGCCCATGCTCCTTGGGATTTTCACAAATGGGTAATCAGACCAAAAAGTTTTGAGAAATTAGTGATTCTCTAGCATAGGTGTTGGCAAACTGTCTTGTGGGCCAAATCTAGTCCACCAACTGTTTTTATACATTCAAAGGCTGTACAAAAACAAGCAGTGGATCGGATTTGGACAATGGGGCCTAGTTTGTTGGCCTCTGCGCTAGAGGCAAGATGAAGAAATCCTGTTGAGACCTGTTGAGTGTTGGGGGTCGGGGTAGGGATGGGGGAGTGGCCCACCTCCTCCCAAAAAGGCAGATGTGCTCTCTGTCTCTGTCTCTCTCTCTTTCTGTCTGTCTGTCTGTCTCTCTCTCAGTTCTAGACTGAGTAATGATCAAACAGGAAGAGAGACCTCAGTGGGTTATTTTTTCTGCAAAGGAGCACAAATTTGACCCACAAACAAGTAACAAGTTCAGGAACTGTGGAATAGAAGTGGACCAGGATCCTTTCCCTCCCTTTCTTCTGCCACGTCCCCCAGCAGAACAGGGCCATAGCACTGTTGCTCTTACCCTCAGCAACAGAAAAAGATCATACAAGGCCCTTACAGTTCCTCCAGAAGCATACAGAGTTAGCTCTAACACAGAGTTCCAATCCTGGAAGATGAATGAAGAAACAAACAAAAAGAGTTACTATGATGTCAGGGATACTCGGGATACCAACCCAGAAGGGAATAACCCCAAAACACCTATAGGCAATGCCTCAAATGAAAACACACCTTGTCCAAAAGAGTGATTGTGATGTTATAATAAATTGAGAGGCCTGGAGGAAAGAATGGGAGCGGGGGGGAATGAGAGCAGTGGAGGAGTAACTTGGGAAGAGAATTATCAGCTTAGCAGAAAAGGTACAAAACAATGCCCAAATAACAGACTCCCTGAAAATTAGAATGGACCAAACAGAAATTTATGACTTAATGAGACAACATAAAATATTAAAACAAAGTCAAACAATTGGGAAAAAAACAGAAGAAAATATTAAATATCTCATATAAAAAAACTGATTTGGAGAACAAATCAAGGAGTAATTTAAGAATTATTAGATTACCTATTAACTGTGACCATAACAAAAAAAAAAGAGCCCTGGTATTATTTTTCACTAAATCATGAAAGAAAGCTGCCCAGATATATGTAGAACCAGAGGACAAAGTGAAAGTAAAAGGAACTTAGCGGAAACACCAAACTTAAAATTTCCAGGAGCATAATTACCAAAATACAGAGATTCCAGGTCAAAGGGAATAAATACTACAATTAATCAGAAGAGTTCCAGTGCCAATGAACCACAGTCATGATAACGGAAGATTTAGTAGTTCCCACTCCAGGGGAGCAGAAAATATGGAATATGTTCCAAAAAGATATATAGGCCTATAACCAAGAATAAGTTTCATCTCAGACCCATCAGATCAACATAGTTGACAAAAAAAGAAAAATGACAAATGTTGGGGAGGTTGCCAGAATATAGTTACATTGATACTGTATATCAGTGGTTCGCTGTGAATTGGTATGGCCATTCTGGAGAGTGATTGGAAACTATATCCCAAAAGTACCTATACCCTTTGATCCAACACTACCATTATTAGAACTACACCCCCAAAGAGATGAAAGGAAAAGAAAAAAGGTTCTATATATGTTTAGAAATATTTTTTGTATTACAGGAAATGATGAAAAATAGTTTCATAAAAACATGAATATAGAAGACTTGGTTGAATTGTGGCAGAGTAAAGTGAGAAGAACCAAGAGAACAATTTATTGAATAATAAGAATAGTAATAGTATTCATATAGTGCTTTAAGATTTGCAGAGTAATTTACAGTACCTCATTTAGCCTCACAACAACCTGGATTGCTAATGTTAGCCCCATCTTACAGTTGAGGAAACTGAGACAGACTGAGGTTGTGACTTGCCCAGAGTTACATAGCTAGTTAAGTGTCTGAGGCCAGATTTTAATTCAGATCTTCCTGACCCTAGGTCCAGCTTTATCTATAGCCTAGCATGCTATAGATGCCATCAGCATTATAAAAAAACAAATTCTGAAAAGCCTAAGAAAACTGCAGACAAAGCAGAATTAGTCAGTATTGAGAAGACCAGTGATAAATGCTGCCTACTTCCTGATAGAGAGGTGATGGAATGATTTGCAGAATGAAATGCATTTTTGGACATGGACAACATGGGAATATATACTTAATTTGTTGTAAAGGTGTTTTGTTTTCCATTTTCCAGTGGAGGAAGAGATGGGAGGGAAGAATACTTAATACCACCCTCTTCCCCCCCAAAATCATTTATTTATAAATTTAGAAAAGAGGCTATTTTGGTCAGTAAGTAGATATACATGTAAATATTTTGCCTTTTGAAGCAATCAAGATAAAATGATAATATCTTCATTTTACAAATGAGGAAATAAAGTTCAGGGGAATTCCATGATATGTTCAGGGTCGCAGAACCAAATTAGAACTTGGCTCTCTCAAATTCTTATTCCACAGCATCATATGCTACTCAGTTGAATATTGTGATGTGCAAATGTATCATGCAGATGATAAAGATTCAGAATGATAAAGAAAGTCAGATTATTGAAGGTGTTTATTCGGGAGCTTGTTTTTGAAGTGGGCCTTAAAAGGATGGATTTGAATAGGAAGAGAAAAGGCAGGGAGTAATTTCTGGAGGGGAAACAATATAAACAAAGACTGGGAGGTGGTAATGAGCAAGAGGCAATGAGGCAACCATCCTGAATGGAGAGAATGAGTCTTTGGCAATTACAGCCAGTAATTTTTAGCTAGGTAGAGTGGACCATATTATAGAGATCCTTGAATGCTAGGGTAAAGAGTTTGGATTTCAGCTTAATCTTATTTGTTTACAAACTACCAAGTGGGCTCTTGAGTAGAGGACTAATAGTTGAAAGCAATACTTTCGGAGAATTAATCTTATGACTGCGTGTAGAATGGATGGGAGGGGGAAGAGGCTGGAGCCAGGCCGGAATTAGGCAACAGATAATAATGTGGGGCAGGACAAGTGATGGCTGTAGTAGTGGAAAATGGCTACAGATAACAGGATTTTATGACAGATTGTGTGTAAGGGAGGGAAGAGGGAGACTACATGTGAATAAATGTTGTTTGAGATGGGTTTTATAATGGTCTTAATGTTTTCCTCAAATTATGGAGAATATTTTATCCATTTTTTGCTATAAAAAGCCCCTCAAATTGATATTTATCATTTTATATGTAGTAGAGTATGTCTTCTAGGGTCTGTTGTCTTAGTTCTTTTCACTTATTCATGTCAGTAGCAAGGTTCAAATAGATTTCACTGAAAAACTTGGAGTAAAACTTGACAACTTCTAATGCAGATCTCTCCAACCTGCATGTAAATGGGGGTTTTTATTTTGTTAAAAGGGAAAGGTATACATTATAGAGCTAATTTATTCCATTCTCTTGTCATTTAAAGTACTGGCTCCCCAAAGTAGCTTGTGTAGTTTATAGTGAATAGAATTGTTGAGCTGGGAGAGACCAAGATCTAATCCAGTCCCCACATTTTATGGATAAAAAAACTGAGGGGCAGAGATTTGAAGTGAGTTGCCCCTACTCACACAAAATTTACGGTTAGAGCTCAGACTTAAATCTGGATTTCAGTCATTTGATTCCCAGTCTTAGCCCTCCCTTCATTGTACTACAACTCTCCTTTTACTCATTTAAATACAGCCTGCTTCAGGACCTAAACCCAGGACAGTGACTAAGCACCATATCTGAGGCATTCAGGCAGTGATCCCCAGTGAGGCTGGGTTAACGATTTTTTTACTACTTGTTTCACATGTGGTCACCACCAGCCTCCAAGTACTCTCAAACTGTGGTAGCTTAAGACCTTCTGGTTTCCTCAGCAAACAATATAAATGTGTGGTGGTGGTGGTGGTGGTGGTGTTCCTTTGAAAGAGCCAGATGTTTGACACATTTAGATAAAATTTTATTGAATTAATTCATTGGAACTTCCTTATTGTTAAAGTGAGCAGAGTGATGTAGCATTGACTGCTTATTAAACCACATAAATTGAGGGGTGTGTGTGTGTGTGTGTGTAAAATTATTTTTTAATTAGGGTTAGAGAATTAGGTTTGAAGAATTTTTTGGAATAAGGTAGTCTCTAAGACATGGGGTAGATTTCAGTAAAATATTGCAATAGGCAGAAAGGCGTAACAATGAAGTATATTGGTTTCAGACTTCCTGAGAGTATATGGAAACTGTTGTGTGCTTAGCTTTGATCCTATACTGTGAGCCAGCAGAGTACTTCTTTAAAAACAATTACCATGTTCTGATTTGTTTTGATTTCTGGTTCCCCACATGTGTGGTATCTACCCTATTCATTTGGAAGTTCCAAGAGGACACAGCCTTAGTCTGATTTATCTCTGTATCTCATTCAGAACCTCCCTAGCACAGTACTCTGCACATGGTTAATACTAAGGAAGTTAACTTGTCAAGAACCTTGTGTTAACACCTATATTAAAATATAGCCAACCTAAGTGGAAAGGACTTGAGAAGTAAAAGTCTAGTAGCATCCTAGAAAGTATTTTCCCCATTCTAGTGAGCCCTGTGTCCAGTAGCATAACTGATGTTTCTTTGTGTGGTTAAATACTACCTATGGAATGAATGTCCGAGAAGGAAGGAGAACTGGGGGTGGAATTTGGTTTTGAGTTTTAAATGAACCCAAATACTTGCTTTTTTTGGAAAATGTCAACACATAGAGACTGATTGGGTATCCCTGTTTCACTAATCACAAGCTTTTGTTGTCCGTGTAGGAATTTTCCGTTGTACCTTTTGTGAAGCAGAAGTAGAGGAGGATGAGTCAGCAATGCCCAAGAAAGATGCTCGAACAGTTGTGGCACGGTTTAACGAACAGATCGAGCCCATTTATGCCCTGCTACGAGAGACTGAGGATGTTAACTTGGCATATGAAATCCTTGAGCCAGAACCCACGGAAATCCCAGCCCTAAAACAAAGGTGGGTTATGACGACTTTATGCCTTTACCGAAGGTACTTTCATGTTGAGTTTGTCTTCGGTGTTTGGACTTCTGCACTTCTAAGAGACTGTCCATTAGGGGTTAGCTGTGTATTGCTAACTGATTTCTCTACCTCAGAGAGTTGTAGCTTTGATTACATGTCTGACAGAATCTCCAGGTGCTAATTTTCCTAAGTTCACCACAAAAAGAAATGTACTATAATCTTGTGGCTCTGTGATATTCTCAAAGTAGGCAAAATCATCTGAAGCCCAGTAGGAGAAGTAGAGACAAAGAATTAGATAATCAGTGACCATAGAGTTAAGGATGAGTAGGAGGGCCCAGCAGATAGCTCGTCTGATTTGGAGACTAAGAAGATGGTATGGAACCAGATCACCCGTGGTCTCCTAATCACCAAATTCAAGGGTCTTTCCTCAGCTTTCATCCTCCAACCTCTCTGTGGCATTTGACATTATTGGTCTTCTTTGTTGACATTATATTAAAAAAACAGGCTTTTTCGGAGTTAGAAGTGGTATAGGAGGTCATGGTCATAGAGCAGAATTCCTTTCCTTGGAGGCACTACTAATCCCCCTGATGACAAAGTTCAAGTTGTGGCCATGCTTGTGGGTGGGTGAATTCTAGAAAAGAATGAAGGGCATTACAGTTGGGGAGTCTGAAGAACAAGAATCGTTGTGGATGATAGCTGTGGAGAATGATCATGATGTGGTGGGCTGGGATCCAGGTGCTGAGCATCATCAGGGAAGCCAAGCGATTTCTATGGGAAGAGTACATTGTAATCATGTGTAGTAAACTTCAGAGGAGGAGAGGTTGTTAACCTATATTGTCAGAATGGTGGTCTAGGAACTACAGCGGGGGAGTTAGGAGTTTGCCTACTGATCCCTCTTCCTGGCCCTGTGGATCATGAAGAGTCGGAATAAACAATTTCCATAGAAGAAAGCTTCAAAAGAAGTAATATCAATTTAATTCCAGAAGGGCGAGGGACCCTTTATTGAAATGAGCCAGGATATGGGGGGAGAAGGTGAGGGAGGAGGTAGGAAGAAGGGAAAAAAATTTATTCCTTACAGATTGGAATTACAAAGGACAGAGTGGAGGGACTAGTAGTAAAGCCATCATCTTCATCACAGATTCTAATTCCTCCACCCTTTCATTACCCGTTCTCTGTCTTAACTTTCTTCCCTTCTCAGTCTTGGCCCTGTAGTTAACCAGTTCCCTCTACACTGTCTTCTACTCTTAAACCTTTCCCCTCTTTGTCTACTGACCACTTATTCCTCACCAAATCCCAAACTTGGATTATTCCTACCATCTATTGCCTTTGCTTCTACCTATGTGCTATTGAATAATTTTGGAGGAGGTCACACAGCCATACTGGCAGGGTAATTATAAATTTGTTAGCCACTTTCAGCTAGGTCTTCACTACAGCAAGGGGATCTTTTTATTCCTGCCCAGTCTATGCCCTGTCTCTCCACAGAAGCTATTCCAAAACTTCTCTTCTTTTCTTCCCACACTATTTCTTCTGCTCTTTTACCTGAAGACTGCACCTCTTTATTTATTGAGAAGATTGAAGTTTGCCATGAGTTCCCTATTCTCTACTCTTCTTTACCTTATTGCCCAATCTCTCCTTTTCCCCAGCCTCAAATAATGAGATGGCTCTTCTTGTCAAGGTCAGTCTCTCTCCATATGCCAACGATCCCATCTCTTCCAACAGGTTCCCCCCTCAGTCATTCTGTCCGTTCCTCTAACTTTCAACCTCTTCCTAACTGGTTTCTTCCCTACTGCCTTCCAATATGCTCAAGAACACTTCAGACCCTGGAGAAGCTTGCATTCTAACGGTAGAGATAACATAGACAGATGAAAGGCAGCCCTAGAGGAGGCAACTCTAGCAGCTGGCAGGGGAAGCCCCCTGAGGAAGGTGGTGGCGTTTAGGCTGAGTCTTGAAAGAAGTCGGGGATTCTGAGTCGGAGGTAAAGAAAAAGAACATTCCGGGTGTGGGAGACAAGGAGGGTAAGGGAACAAAGGCAGCAGACAAAGCTTTGTGTGAAGAATAACAAGTTAGCCAGTGTGACTAGACTGTCCGGTATGTGGAGAGAAATAATACATAAGAAGATAGGAGAGGCCAGGTTATAAAAAGCTTCAAATGTCAGAGGACTTTACATTTAGTCCTAAAGGTAGTTAGATGGACTGGCAAAGAAGAGACTGAGGCAGGGAGCCCAATTAGCGTGCTCTTACAACAGTGTAGGAAAGAGCTGATGAAGGCCTGAGTTGGGGTGATGGCTTTGTGGGTGGAGAAAAGAGAACATATAGGAGAAATATTGTCAAGGCATAAATGACAAGATTTGGCAATGGATTGGACATAGAGGGGAAGAGTAAAGAGTTGAGGAAGACACTAAGGATGTAAACCTGGGTGACTGAAAGGATGGCATTACCCGCAACAGTAATAGGGAAGTTAGGTAGAGAGGTTGGTATTGGGCGGGAGGGAGAAGGTAATGAGTTATGTTTTGGACATGGTGAGTTAGAGATGTGTTTGGGACATCCAATCTGAAATATCCACCAAGTGATTGTGGATGTCTGACTGCAATCTTAGAAATTTAGCTCTAGGCATCATCTTTATAGGGTCGAGCTGTTCAGGGGCACTCACAGTTCTGGGTGTGATAGAAGGAGCAGTCAGACAAGTACGAGGAGAACCCAGAGAAGAGCGTCCTCAGGACTAGGTATGGGGTGGGGGAAGAGCAGTCTCATGCTGCCGGGAGGTTAAGAAGGCCAAGAACTGAGACAAGGCCATTGGTTTGGCAGTTTCTGTTGAATAATGATATAGGAAGCCAGATTGCAGAGGATTTAAAAGAGAAAAAAGTGAAGGCACCAAGTGTAGACTTGTTTTTTTTTTTTCAAGGACTTTAGTTGAGAAAAAGAGAGATAGGACAAAGGTTAGTGATTAATCTAATTTCAGCATAACAAAGACATCAGCTACTGAACCCCTCTCTTCTCACATATATGCAAAATTCAAGGATGATAATATATGTGTCTCTATGTCTGGTGCTTTAAGGGTTACAGAGTGATTTACAAGTGATGTCTCATAATAAATCACACCAAGAAGGTCACCCATACTGGAAGACCTCCCTCACCTTTAGTCTGTCCTTCCAAATTCCTTGGTTGTCTATTTAATCAGTTGCTGCTCTTTACCTTAGCAACATTTGGTTCTATAAGCATTCATTGAGTGCCTGCTGCTTCAAGGGACTGCTGGAGTAGGTGCTCAGAGAGCCTAAACAAATAAAGGGAAAAACAAGCATACAGATAATCGGTACATGAGAAAGTGAGACAAATGCAAAAGTGAGGTCCAGGCAAAGTGCTCCAAGAGTTTGAGGAAAGACTCTGTTTATAGGGTCTTGGGGATGTGTGTTAAGGAGCACTTCATGGAAGAAGTACCATCTCAGTTTGGCCTCAAAGAAGAGGAGGGTGTTAGAGATGGAGAAGAGGAGGGCCTACTGTCACATGGCAGACTGAGTAAGGAAGGGTATGGAGAGGAGAGCAGAATGAAGACTGGACAGTAGAAATTAATCCTCTTTAATTTGAATGTAAAATACATTGGAGAAATTTATACAGCAACAACATTGTAAAGATAAAATAACATTTCATTTAAAAATAGCTTGGGAGGGTACCAGTATGAGATGAAACCAGGTAGGTAGGTTGGAGCTAGCTTGTGGAAGACTTTCAGTGCTAGGATCAAGAGATTTTACTTCTGAGGCATTGGAAACTCATTGTAAGTTTTTAAAGAGAGAGGGATGATATGCTCCTGGCACTGGACTAGCAGTATTACTTATACAGCAATCCGGAGAATGGATTAAACAGGGTATAGATAGATTGGAGGCATAAAGACCATTTAAGCTATTCCAATAGTCTAAGCAAGAAAAAATGAGGTCCTGAGTTAGTATGGTAGAGGTGGGAAATAGATAGGAGGGCTCACATTAGAGAGATATTGCAGAGTTACAGACATTAGGACTTGGCAACTGATTGGATATGGGGTATGAGAGGGGGAAGAGTGAACAATAACTCCAAGGTAATGGACCAGGACATGTAGTTAGAATCTCTTTGGACAGTCACAGTAGCTCATGAGGCATTCTGGTCAGCTTTCATGCCTCTGTTGGCCATCAACAAGACACTGAATTAAAACTGTGTTTCTCTCTTCAGCCACTTTTTTTTTGGGTGAGGTGCATTAGTGTTGTAAATCTTAGGGACAGGATTCACTGGACTTCTAAAAATTGTCTTTCTGGGTGCTCAAAGCAATGGAAAATCAGTGGGGTGTATCTACCCCCCAAAATCCAGTAAAGACTAACTCTGAATAGAGCCTCTGAACCCTGACTGACCTTTACAAGCATGATCCAGTAGAAGGGCATTTCAGGGTTCTCTTCAACCTCAGATTGGCATAACAGTGCTCTAGTTGCTGACCTCTAACCTTCCAATAGATACCTAGCACTCTCATTCCTGTCCCTCATCGGCCTGCCTGTCAATGTTTATGCAGTGAATTTTGTTTTTTATTTTGAACTTTTTTTTCCTCTTTGGTTTTGCATAGCAAGGAACGTGCTGCTGCTGCTGCTGGAGCTGCTGGCCTTGCAGGTGGACATCACCGGGAAGCTTGGACTACCAAGGGTCCATCCTATGAGGACTTGTACACTCAGAATGTTGTCATCAGCATGGAGGACCAAGATGATCTTCATCGGGCAGCTGCTGAAGGGAAACCCACCAAAGAGAGACCTATCTGGTTGAGAGAGAGCACAGTACAGGGAGCCTATGACTCGGAAGAGATGAAGGAAGGTAAGAGGCTAAAATATGGCTCTGTCTTAGGTGCAGCAGACGATGTTCTGCCAGTATGCTTGTATGGCCTCATCATTGCTGTCTCTTGCTGTAAACTTTTCAAATCAACCCTCTTCGTAACAGGAAGTTAGAAATGTAACAAGAGAACAAGGCACATTTCAGAAAATTTATAGTACTCCTGAGAAGCAAGCTGGTAAAATAGCAAGTAGGGTTATTTACGTCTCTTTTTAAAGCATTGTTTCCAGTTTTAGGGAGGAGATCCTACAGCCCTGAGTTTGATTTGAGATTTTTTTTCTTTTTGTTGTGGGTACCACTTAGTACTGGAAACATTTTTTTCCTTGTCCTGAGTCGGCTGAAGTTATTTATCACCCGTTTACTTCTTCTGGAGTCACTTAATTTATTTTCATAACAAAAGAGTGCTTTAAAGTTTGCAAAGTACTTTACTTATGTTATCTTATTTGATCCTCACAACCACCCCAGGAGGTAGGTGCTGTTGTCATCTCCCTTTTGTAGATGAAGAGACTGAAGCAGACCGAAGTTAAGTGACTTGCCTAGGGTCACACAGCTCTGCATTTGAGGTTGGATTTGAATTCAGGTCTTTGTGTCTTCACATCCAGCCCTGCATCTGCTGCACCACCAGGTGCCTCGTGATCTGTATTATATGTGTAGGACAGTACAAAACCCAGTTAAAAAGAGATATCATGGGAATGGAGGCCAGTGATGGATCATAGCTGCTTCCTTCTTTTGGGAATTTCACATAGTAATTTCTAGACGGGTTATGTGCTTAGTGGCAGCTAGATAGCATAGTGGAGAGAGTTCTGGAATTTGACTTAGAAAGTCCTGAGTTCAATTTTTGCCTCGCTGCGTGACTGTGGGCCAATCCCTTAACCTCTTTCAGCCTCAATTTCCTCCCCTGTAAAAGGGGATAATAGATTCTACCTCAGTGTTGTGGTGAGTTTCCAATGAGATAACATTAAAGAGCTTTGCAAACCATAAAGTGCTAAATAAATGCTAACCATTATTGTTGACTATTCTTACCATACTGTGAGCTGTTCAAGACCTTGAGAACTCCAATAGCATATGCCCTTTATGTAGCTGAATCCAAAGTTACTATTGCTCTTTAGGTTTGGGGGGTTGATGTGCCCATTAGTATGGGAATGAGGCTAACACATGTTTGTAAGGTGTCCCAGAAAAGCAGTGTTGGGACTAGATGTTTCTGTACTTCTGGCAGCGCTTCACTTGATTCGTGGGCTGAATCACCACTGTTACTATATACCACTTGGTTTTTTTTTTTGTTTTGTTTTGTTTTTGTTTTTTTGTTTAATGAAAATCTTATAAGCAACTAAATATCACCTCCCTCTTCCATTTTTCTGACCCTTTTCATCTATTCTTCCTTTATAGTATTGACAAGGGCAGAGGGGGTGTGCCTGGGCAGCAAGTAATGGTTTTCCACAGTATGACTTTCCACAATGTTCTCATTTCAGTAAGAAAAAAGGTTCCTTTGATAACCACAATTCCACTTCACTCCAGCTAACTGTCATTCCTAATGATCATGTCAGCCTTAATATTAAGGAGTCTGGTGAACAGGGCCAAATTTTACATAGGTGAAGTCTGCTGTTCCACACTCCTTTTGGGGGATCCCCACAATCTAGCATTATTCAGACTGCTTTCCAAAATATCTGGGTGATTAGATAATCTGATAAATTAATCTGTGCTGATGTAATCATGAGAGATGGTAGCCCTTTATCCAAGGCCCTCCTGAATATTGAGTGTTTTTTACATGGGCCTGTTTCTGTTGGCCAATCCAAAGAAGAAAACTTTGTGCCAGGCAGATGAGAGCTGTGCCCTGTAGTGCTTTATAGCACCCCTAAAATCATATTGTAGAGATGGATGCCTATTTCTAGCAATATGTACAGCTGGCCCTGCAGGGGAGTGTTTAAAACTGGCACATCTGAGTAATGACCACATTTTGAAAGGAAAGTCATTACACGTGAGTCACTAGGCACTAGTGGTGTTAGAAGAGTGACCTATTTTTAAGGCTATGAAAGGTAAATCAAGTCCTATTGATATACATTTCAAATTTTCACCTAGACAGCCATTTATGAGCTGCCTTGGTACAAGCTTTCTCATTAAGTAATTAGATATTTATTAGCAATATCAAAAGTATAATTCAAGTATCTTTCTACTCATACTTCACTTAATTGTAAGAAAAATTTTTGTTGTTAAAGAAGCAAAATACTTGCACAGGAAAATTCACAAAGTGATAGAATGGTGAGGAAAGCTATGCTCATGATGCTATAGCATTTGGAAGCACCTTCTGATGTAGGGAAAGCTCTGGTTGCTTTGCTGACAGTCATTGCTTAGTCCCAGACCAATGTGGAGCCTCCTCTCCATTTATAGAAGACCTGTTGTCTCCTCTTGGAAGGCAGTTTACAAGTTGTAGATTCATCCCACAGGCAGTGGGCGTTCCAGGGACTTCTGAAGGTCCTTATTTGTTGTATTTTCTTTTCAAGGTGGATTAGACATAGATGCTTTTCAGGATCGGGAAGAAGGCAGGATGGCCTTGGACGATAATGAGGAGGTCATGCGGGCCCTCCTCATCCACGAGAAGAAGACGCCTTCAGCAGCAGTTGGCTCGGTTGGGGCAGCTGCTCCTATCACCACGGCAAATGGCAGTGACTCAGAGAGTGAGACAAGTGAATCAGATGAAGACTCTCCACCCCGTCCATCGGCAGCTGTCTCAATGTACCAAGAGGACGATGACGAAGAAGAGGAGTTTGAGGAGGTGGCAGATGATCCGGTTGTCATGGTAGCTGGACATTCATTCTCTTACAGCGAAGTGAGCCAGCGACCTGAGTTAGTGGCCCAAATGACTCCAGAAGAGAAAGATGTCTATATTGCAATGGGACAGCGTATGTTTGAGGACCTATTTGCGTGAAACTTATCCTGTGTCTTCCGTGCTGGCCAGATTAGAGAATGTATTTTTCAAAATATTTCCCAATATTTAGTCTAAAGAAATATTCATCTCACACAAATCAGGACAAGGGTAGGAATTTGACTTTAGTGTGCCAAAACAGAAAAGAAGAGGAAGGAAGGGAAGATGATAGAGTGAATTTTATACGAACTGGAAAAATTCATTCATCCCTTTGTCATCACAGTATCAGTATTTCTACTCAATTTTTTTTTTTTTGTGCATAATTTCTTAACTTGCTCACTCTTTTAAGTGAGGAATATCTCTGGTACAGTATGTATTTTGATTTTCCAACCTGTTTATCAAAAAAGATATTATGCAGCAGTTAGTTCTGATATGTAGCATGGCATTGTTTCTTAATGCAGAGTTTTAAACATATAAAAATATGTAAAATATATATGCATATGTATATATAAATATAAACTTTCCTATAGGTGCCTATAAGAGTAGTAACTTTTGTAACTTTCTCTTACAGTTTTTTAAAATATCATTTTACAGGCCTTTGTGGACAGTAAAAATTGTGTTTCAGAATTTGACCCTATTAAAAACGATGTTTCATTTACATAGGTGAATGTTAGAATTGAATAACTATTTTCAAACTATTTTATACCAATTAAAATTTGTTATTGCTACTAATGTAACACCCAGGAGCAAGGGTTGAAACTGATATTTTATCTCCTTTAAAAATAAAGTTTTCTTTAAAAAAATGTTTTTTTTTAGGGGTGACAGTCTCTGTTTTCCATTACATAAGCTAATATCTGGTTGGTTTGTTTTGTTTGTTGGGTTTTTTTTTGTTTTTATTTTTGTTTTGTTTTTTTTGGTGAGGCGATTGGGGTTAAGTGACTTGCCAAGAGTCACACAGCTAATGAATGTTATGTGTCTGAGGTCGGATTTGAACTCAGGTTCTCCTGACTCCAGGGCTGGTGCTCTCTTCACTGCTCCACCTAACTGCCCCCAATAAACTAATATCTGTGTATGCCTGGGTGCCTTTCTCATTTTACATGTTAAGTGCTTTTCTGTTCTGGGGTGTTCCTGCAGTGAAATTAGTGTTACAGAAATAACTTTCCTTTGTGCCATGATGCACATGGAATACCTTGGCCTTTAATCCTTGATGCTCATTACAATTTTCATTTTAATAATAATGTTAAACCATTGATAGAGCCTGAAACTTCCTACAATTTTCTAGTTCCCTGGAAAAGTGTAACTCACTTCTATTGAAGTTCACCTCAACCCTTTTACCTCCTTGAATTATTATCCCATGTTGAACCCTCCTTTTATTGCCAGACTTTTCGGAACAGCAGTACAGAGCATTTCCAAAGTCTTAATGCAATGTTAAGTTTTAATTTAAAAGCTTAAAATATGGAAGTTTATATACTGTTTGAGCTTTAAAAACTTAAAACTGTACTAAGACTTTTGAAACATCCTGTATATAGGTCCAGGCTTTCATTGCCATAGAAACACACTTATATATTAACTGGCCTCCACTCCCTTTTAATCCATCCTACATGTTACTATTAGGCTAATGTTATTAAAGCATTACTTTTAATGATGAACCTTGGTACCCGAGAACAGGTAATGAAATCTGTTTCCCTCTTGGAAAAGAGTTGGGGGTACTGGGAAGAGGGGAGGTGTATGAGTTAAAAGTTCAACTGGGGAAGGAGGGTGTATTGGGAGAATACTGGTGTAAAAGATACCAATAAATTTTAAAAGCAAAAAGAAGTGTTTCTGCTCAAAAAACTTGGTTTCCCATCATCTATAAAGTTAGAGAAGCTTCTTAGTGCAGTGGAAAGAATGCTGGATTTGGAGCTGAAGACCATGAGTTCAAATCTGGATTTTTCCACTTATCATCTGTGAAATCTTAGGTAAGTCACTTTAATGCTCTGGGACTCAGTTTCCTTCTAAACTGAGGGGATTGAAGAAACAGATTAAAAGGGGAAAAAAACATGAGAAAGAATGAAGTGAAAAAATTATGTTTTGATCTACATTCAGAGTTAATCAGTTTTTTATCTGGATATGGATAGCATTTTCCTACAAGAGTTCTTCGTACTTGTCTTAGATCATTGTGTGGCTGAGAAGAGCTGAGTCATTTATAGTGTTGATACTGTGTACAATGTTTTCCTGATTCTGCTCGTTTCATTTTGCATCAGTATAGTACAATTCTTTCCAGGTTTTTCTGAAATGTGCCTGGTCATCACTTCTTATTGCATAATAGTATTCCATTACGTTCATATACCACAGCTTGTTCAGCCATTCCCCAATTGATGGGCATCCCTTTTGATTTTCAATATTTTGCCACCATGTAAAGGGCTGCTATAAATATTTTTGCACATGTAGGTCCTTTTCCGTTTTCTATGAACTTTTTGGGATACAGACCAAGTAATAGTATTGCTGAAACAAAGGGTATGCACAATTTGGTTGCCCTTTGGGCATAGTTCCAAGAGTGGTTGGATCAATTCACAACTCCACCAACAGTGCATTAGTGTCCCAATGTTCCCACGTCCTCTCTAGCATTTATCATTTTCCTTTTTTGTCATATTAGCCAATCTGATAGGTGTGAGGTGGTATCTCAGAGTTGTTTTAATTTGCATTTCTCTGATCAGACATAATATAGAGCACTTCTTCACATGCCTATAGATAGCTTTGATTTCTTCATCTGAAAACTGCCTATTCATATCCTTTGACCATTATCCAGTTGGGGAGTGGCTTGTGTTACAAGTTTGTCTCAGTTCTCTATATGTTTGAGAAATGAGGCCTTTATCAGAGACACTTGCTGTAAAGATTGTTTCCCATCTTTCTGCTTTCCATCTAATCTTAATTACATTGGTTTTGTTTGTACAAAAGCTTTTTAATTTAATATAATTAAAATTATCTGTTTTACATTTTGTAAAGCTCTCTTTCTCTTGTTTGGTCATGAATTTTTCCCCTCTCCATAGATCTGACAGGTAGACTATTCCTTGCTCTTCTAATTTGCTTAAGGTGTCACCCTTTATTTCTTAGTCATGCACCCATTTTGACCTCATGTTGGTACATTGTGTGAGATGTTGGTACCTAACTAGTTTGTGTCCTGTTGTTTTCTAGTTTTCCCAGCAGTTTTTGTGAAACAGTTCTTCTCCCAAAAGCTGGAGTCTGTGGGTTTATCAAACGCTAGGTTGCTGTGGTCATTGACTATTGTGTCCTGTGTACCTAATCTATTCTACTGATCCACCACTCTATTTCTTAGCCAGTACCAGATAGTTTTGATGATTACTGCTTTATAATATAGTTTGGGATCTGATATTGCTAGACCACCTTACTTTGTATTTTTTTTCTTTTAATTCCCTTGATATTCTCTACCTTTTGTTCTTCCAGATGATTTTTGTTATTTTTTTCAAGCTCTATAAAGTAATTTTTTAGTAGTTTGATTGGTATGGCACTGAATAAGTAAATTAGTTTAGGCAGAATTGTCATTTTTATTGTATTGGCTCACCCTACCCATGTGCAGTTGATATTTTTCCATTTTAGATCTGACTTAATTTGCATGAAAAGTGTTCATATAGTTCCTGGGTTTGTCTTGGCAAACAGTTAATTTACAGTTTTTTAAAATGGAGTCTCTCTCTATGTCTTGCTGCTGGGCTTTATTGATCATATAAAGAAATGCTGGTGATTTATGTGGGTTTATCTTATATCCTGCAATTTTGCTAAAGTTGTTAATTATTTTTAGTTGATGCTCTAGGGTTCTCTAAGTACACCATTATATCATCTGCAAAGAGTGATAGTTTTGTTTCCTCATTGTCTATTCTCATTCCTTCAATTTCTTTTTCTTCTCTTATTGTTATAGCTAGTATTTCTAGTACTGTGGAATAGTAGTGGTGATAATGGCATCATTGCTTCACCCCTGATCTTATTGCTAAGGCTCTTATCCCTATTACAGATAATGCTTGCTGATGGTTTTAGATAGATACTGCTTATCATTATAAAGACCACTCTCTTTATTCCTGTGCTCTTTACTGATTTTAATAGGAATGGGTGCTGTATTTTGTCAAAAGTGGTTTTTTTTAGCATCTATTGAGATAGTCATGATTTCTGTTGGTTTTGTTATAGATATGGGCAATTATGTTGATAGTTTTCCTAATATTGAACCAACCCTACATTCCTGGTATAAATCCCACCTGGTCATAGTGTATAATCCTCATTATATATTACTATAATTATCTTGCTAGTATTTTGTCCAAAATTTTTGCATGTATATTCATTAGGGAAATTGGTCTATAATTTTCTTTCTCTGTTTTAGCTTTTTTTGGTGTAGGTGTCAGTGCCATATTTGTGTCATGAAAGGAGTTAGGTAGGACTCCTTCTTTGCTTATTTTCCCAAATAGTTTATAAAGTATTGGAATTAATTGTTCTTTAAATATTTAGTAGAATTCACTTGTGAACCCATATGGCCCTGGGAATTTTTTCTTAGGAGTTGATTAATGGCTTTTTCAATTTCTATTTCTAAGATGGGGTTATTTAGGCATTCTATTTCCTGATCTGTTAATCTAGGTAATTTATATTTTCATAAATATTCATTGGTTTCACTCACATTGACAGATTTATTGCCATGTAATTGGGCAAAATATTTCCTAATGATGCTTTCACAACTATGACTAATACGGAAATATTTTTACATGATAGCACATGTATAAACTATGTCAAACTGCGTACCATTTTCAGAAGAGGGGAGGGGAGAGAGGGAGAAAAAATTAGAACTCAAAATCTTGTAAAAATGAGTACTAAAATTTTTCTTGACATGTACTTGGGGAAAAAATAAAATATTAAACTTTAAAAAATAAGAATAAAATGAGGGGATTGGGTAGGAAACATCTGAGTTGTCTTACAGTTTGGAAGCCTAAGATTCTTTGCTTTTTTTTTTGTTTGTTTGTTTGGTGAGACAATTGGGGTTAAGTGACTTGCCCAAGGTCACACAGCTAGTGTCAAGTGTCTGAGGCCGGAAGCCTAAGATTCTTAAGCCAGACATTCAAGGCAAGCCATTACTTGGTCCCTAGCTATATCTCCCTCTTATTTGAAGCCTTTGCTCCCTATCCAACTGGTCTGCCTCCATATCTTTCAGACCCAGCGTATACCTATGTATTTCCCTAACTCCAAAATGTACTTCCCTATCTCCAAAATGTACTTCCCTATCTAAATCCTTTAAAGCAAAGCTCACATCTCTCTCCTCTGAAGCCTTTTCTAACTTGTACAACTCAAGGGTAATTCTTTACCTCCTGAATTCCTATGGCACTAATTGTCTAGATCAGTGATCTCCAACTTTAATTAAACGTTTTGAGCATATACTACAATATAGGATTATATGTTACATACACATACTACTACACTAAAATTGTATACTATGAAAAATATGCCAAATCCTTAGTATTGCTAAAGGATAAGATAAAGATGAAGTCAATTATTTAAACAAATTTTTAAAGCCTTTTTGTATCACTTAAGAAGAGTGTGCTTTGGGCAGCTAGGTGGTGCAGTGGATAGAGCACTGGCCCTGAAGTCAAGAGGACCTGAGTTCAAATCGGGCCTCAGACCCAACACTTGACACTACTAGCTGTGTGACCCTGGGCAAGTCACTTAACCCTAATTGCCTAAAAAAGAAAAAAAGAACAGTGTGCTTGAGTATTGTTAAGGGGTGCTCTGAACTTATCCTTTTGAGT